GCTGCTGGCCGTTATCTTTGAAAACTTGTGGTGGTTGGGAGAGAACCTAGATGATTAGAAAAGGGGAAATATAATGCCCATCTTTAAGAAAGGAAAGGAGGGAGATCCAGAGACCTACAGACTAGTCAGCCGCACCTCAGTCTTTGGAAAAATCATGGAGCAGGTCATCAAGGAATCCATTTCTAAGCACTTGGACATGACGAGGAACAGTCAGCATGGACTGATTGAGGGCAAGTCATGTCTGAGCAACCTGACTGCCTTCTGTGATGAGATGACTGTCTTAATGTATGTGAGGAGAGCAGTGGATATGGTATACCTTGACTTTAGCAAGGCTTTTGATATGGTCTCCCACAGCATTATTGCAAGCAAGCTAAGGAAGTACGAGTTGGATGAATGGACTGTAAGGTGAATAGAAAGCTGTTTGGATGGTTGGGCTCAAAGGGTATTAAGCAATGGCTCACTGTCTGGCTGGCAATCAGCATCAAGTGGAGTGCCCCAGAGATTAGTCCTGGGGCCAGTTTTGTTCAACATCTTCATCAACAGCCTGGAAGATAGGATGGAGTGCAGCCTCAGCAAGTTTGCAGATGACACCAAGCTGGGCGGGGAGTAGTGCATATAGTGGAGGGTAGGGCTAGGATTTGGAGAGAGCTTGATAAATTGGAGAGTTGGACCAAAAGAAATCCCATGAGGGTCAATAAGGACAAGCCCAAAGTCCTGCACTTGGGATGGAACAGTCCCATGCACCGAGACTGGGAACTGATTAGCTAAGCAGCCGCTCTTCAGAAAAGGACTTGGGGGTTACAGTGGACAACAATAAGCTGAATATGAGCCAACAATGTGCCCTTGTTGCCCTGGGCTGCACTAGTAGGAATGTTTCCAGCAGATTAAGGGAAGTGACTATTCCTCTCTCTTCTGCAATGGTAAAGCCATATCTGGAGTACTGTCCAGTTTTGTCGCCTCCCCCCACCCCGCCCCCAACTGAAAGGATGTAATTGGAGCGAGTCCAGTGAAGGGCAACAAAAATGGTTAGGTGGCTGGGGCACGTGGCTGATGAAGACAGGCTGAGGGAACTGGGCTTTCTTCAGTCTGGAGAAGAGAAGACTGAGGGGGGATTTAAGAGCAACCTCCAACTACCTGAAGGGTGGTTCCAAAGAGCATGGAGCTAGACCAGCGTTTCCCAACTGGTGTGCCATCAGACACGTCCAGGTGTGCCACAGTATTTTGGGCTGGAGCCACACCCCCCACCTGGTGCTGCTGCAGACAGACAGATGGGGAGCGTGGCTCCAGCCCAAAATACTGTCCGGCTGGCTGCACACCCCTCCCCACCGCTTCTGCATCTGGTGTGCTGTGGTGCTTTTTTATTTAGGTAAGTTTGCCATGGGGAAAAAAGGTTGGGAAACGCTGAGCTAGACTGTTCTCAGCGGTGGCAGATGGTAGAACAATGAGTAATGGTTTCAAGTTGCAGCAGTGGAAGTTTAGGCTAGATATTGGGAAAAACTGTCTCACTAGGAGGGTAGTAAAGCACTGGACCAGATTACCCAGAGAGGTGGTGGAATCTCCATCCTTTGAGGTTTTTAAGACCTGGCTAGACAAAGTCTTGGCTGGGATGATCTAGTTGGGGATGGTCCTGCTTTGAGCAGGGGGTTGGACTAGATGATCTCCTGAGGTCCCTTCCAACCGTAATTTTCTGTCATTCTATGAATCAGTATTCAGAAAACCATCATTCTTCAATTACATTTTTAAAGAAAAATATGTAGACTTGTCTTTCCATGAGAACTCCAAAACAGTCCCCAGTTGCTGTGGCTGATGCAGCTGCTGCATTAAGAGCAACAGCCAGGGTGAGCATAGCACATGTGCCAGTAGCAATAGTTAAGCTGGGACTTGGTGTTCCTGTCCTGGGTAAGAGTGTTGCTCCTGCCCCCACCCTCAGAACCTAGGTTTTCCCTCCTCTTCTCCCCTGCTGTCATATCCTGTGCCCCTCTTCCTCCCCCAGTCTTGGAGTCGTGTCTCCACCCCTCCCACCCCCCATATTCTGCAACTCTACTTATTATGTCACTGATAGCAATGGTCTTTCTCCTCCCCAGTCTGCCATGCACCACACACAGGTTGCCTGTGCCATTTGTGGCACCTGTGCTGCAGGTTGGGCACCCCAGGGCTAGAACAAGTGCACAGTAAATAAAAATCTGAGAAAACTGTCGTGTCCAATGCTGCTTTGCCAATTGGCTCATTGTTTCCTTTTTAGAGGAAGGCCAACCTATTTTAATCTTTTTGCTTTTAAGGGTTGGGAATATGGACCAACATACGCAGGGTCCTATCTACTTTATATCCATCAGCAGGAGAATTCAAATGGGAGAAGGTCCCCTAAAAACTGTCCAATTTTGGAATTCCCTTTCATTCAGATTCTTCTAATTGATAATCGCATGTTTGAAGAAAGTCTTCTCAAAATATTAAAGTGCTGAACTGATTTTTCTTAAACTCGGATTGTTAAAATCTGTGAGAGCCTTTAGGCCAATGTCTGAAGTTTCTTATTGCAGCTTTTTTTCACTATTTATAGTGGTTGTGTAGTTCTTTCAATATTGCACAATACCATAGTGGCTGAACTCACTTTTGTCAAAGTTTACCAAAACACCCCTTTGTCTGAGATTTAATTCGAGCCCTGAACAGTTATAAAAAGTTAAAAAATGAATGAAAAGGCATACCTCCTGTGTGTCTCATCTTGTTTAGCGTTCATATGTGGATTCCTGTGACCCAGAATGCATGGCAGGTATTGAGCTGTATGATGGGCTCACTTCCACCCAAAGTCATTGTATCACTTACTGAGCCACAGCAGAGCATAATGGTTACTGGGGGATATAGAATACATTACCTCCCAGAATGGCATAGCCCAGAGCTGCCATGCCAAAACCCCCACAAATTTCCCAGCCTGGTGTTCCCCTCAACAGTTTATACTTCACATCTGCCCCTCAGGTACCCATGATCTTCCTGACTGCCTGCTACATCTGCCAGATTCTTTGTGTATGCATATTGTACCTTGCTACTGTCTAGGGCAGAAAGTATTGACCTTGAATGCAGATAATTAAAAAATGCAAATTTATTTTGTTGTTTTCTATATTTGAACACATGGATAATTTAGTGCAGTGAGCTATAAAAAAAATTGTCAGCTATGGAAACCACATTCTCCAGGTTTTAGTATGGTAATTTATTTGTGTTGTAGATAATGACTTGGTCGTTAAACTGACATCCTAATGTACCTGAGAAGGATTGTCAGCTGAATCAGCATTTTGGCTTGATGACCACTCACAGCCAATCAATGTCAGCCTTAACTGTGATACAGTTATAGATGCCAGGAGCTTAGGAGCTTTTAAAGTAATTTTGCTGTAGAAGTCTACATTGGAATTACTAATGATAGTGGCCTGTTTATCCAGTAGTACGATCTGGTTTTCGCACCTCTTTCTCCACCCCTGAAATGTATTTTAATTCCAACCAAGAAATACCACGACATTTGGAAATGATTATCTTTTGTTGACATCTCAAAAAATGAAAAAGATGTAATAAGTATGGAGTGAATATGGCCATGAACAGGTGTGCATATCAACAGGTAGAAGTTTTTCAAAACTTTTTACCTGTAGAACTCTTTCTGGGAGAGGAAGTATACATTATTCAGCCTGCAGTTGCCCCTTCTCTCCTGTTCTTTGTGTCTTCACCAGACTGGGGTGCAAGGGAAACAGTGGCTACTCCATTTCCTCTCAGTCCTCAAGGGAGTGGAGCAGCAGGGAAAGACTCTGCACGCTTTCCCCAGACTGAGGTCTGGGGGATGGATGGGGAGCAAGCCCTCTTCCTTCTGCTTCTGCTCACCAGCAGCAGAGAGGAGGGAGCAGCAGGGCAAAATCTCCAGCCTATTCCCCAGGCTGGGCATTGCCTGATTTGGGGAAGGGACAGGAGGTGGTGCTGGCTGCTGCTTTCCCCTCCTAGACCAGTTCAGGAACAGAGGGAAGCATCAAGACAAAGCTCTTCCCCCCTCCTTCCCCCC